ACATTTTCTCAGACACTTTTGGCTTTGCTCTCCAGCGCGTTTGTCTCGATATTTAGTTTTGTTCGTTGTGATTATAAATTAATTTATTTTGTGTTCTCTAATTGGCATAGGTAAAGATATGCACATGATTTTTTTTACTTATTAATAATAATTTTGAATATGTTAAGTGGTGTCTCAGAATGTGGAGACCTTGGGAAAACTCAAATTTTATCCAAATTGATGAGCTTCAACTGCAAGCAGTGCCGGAAGAAAATGAAAATAATCAAGAAATTGAGGACCACAACGATGTTCAAGATGAAGACGACACATGCTCATTTGATCAGAAAAACGATTTATGATTTTTTTGATGAAAAAATTTCTCCAACAATGCGAATGATACATTGCAAGTTAGTAGAAAATGAAGTGGTGAATTGTTCAGAAGCGACGCTCCGAAGGTTCATAAAAAAAATGGGCTTTGTTTTCACGAAAATTAACAAACAAAATGTTTTAATGGAGAGTGATCGTATAAAAAAATGGTTTATAGAAAAAAAATTGTTAATGAACTTATAATACAAATTAATGGTGATAGTGATAGTAGCGATAACGAAAACTGATTAAAAATTTATTAATTATAAAAATAAAATTTTATGTTGATGCTGTTTTTTATTTCTCTATTGCATATTATTATTATAATTTATTAAATAAATATCAATAAAATAATGAAATAAAACTTTTTAAATTACCTACATACTAACAAATTTTTTTAAGTCCGGACCATTCTGACCTGCTGCCGCATTCTATCCTCACTGATATTGTTATTTACAACCACCCTAATGTCTTATTGTTAAGAGTAATTCGGGTACCCGACTCAAGATTTACGACAGTTCAAATATCGTGACGAGAAGTATATTTGCCTACGATATTTTATGTTTATTATCGGGATTCTAATACACAGGGCAAAAAGGTTTCAGGCAAATAACACATTTAAGGACAAATTTTTGCCTGGGATAAACCCAACTCAGCGGCATAATTAGAGCCACCCTATAAATTTAAACCGCACTCCTTGACTTGAAATATTAGGAATTGCTATAAAAATTTTATTTGATTGAAAATGAAGCCACAACTCGATTTCTGTGAAAAATGTCACCAAAATCACATAAAATCCTTTACTGCTGATAAATAGTAAACAACCCTTAACTTCTTCATTAATTAATAAATTTATTAGTAAATAAAACAATAAATTAATTATTTTGTGAAATGGTGACTTTGTACATCAAAACCTTGAATCAGATCAATTTTTAATTTTAAAGAAACGTTTCAAATATTATTTTATTCCTTTCAAAACAAGTCAAATGCGATAAGTGATTACACATAGTCAAAATTCTTAATAATTTGAGCAAACGATTTATCAATTTTCGTCAACTCTCCATCGACCCATCCCAATGCCGGAAAACCGACAACTGCCGACCATCGGCTCCATCCCATCTGAAAACGGTCGAACGTGCCTGCTCGAGAGCCGAGTTTGTGACATCACTTCTGAAGCACTGTGTACTTAAAAAATTACCAAGAACTCCAAGAAATTTTGAAATTGGGCGAGAAAATCCGGCCGATCGTAATTTCTTTCTTTTCCTCTTTTATTTCCAATGTTGACAGATTTAATTTGTTGTTGAATTTGCTAGTTTGTGAATTTGTTAAATGATTTGTACACTATAAGACACAAATTGGTGTTTTTTTTTCAACAAGTATCTATTTAATGTTGCATGATCTGAACAGACAAAACGTAACCCAAAGATCTAACCTTTGAAGAGCTATATCTCGTGAAAAAAGACTCAAACAATTTTTTGCCATGAAAACTTTACACTCAGTTGGATTTCCTTTATCACCACCCAAGAGATGGTCCGAGGCGTTTGAATCACCCTATATTTTGTTTGACAATAGTTGGCCATAGAAAATAAAAATATAGGATGAGTCTTAACATAAACATAGTGAATGAAAGGTTATGAGTTATGATCAATAATGAGTAAAAAATAAGTTAAACAAAACTGTTTTATTTTTGTCGAATGTCAATAAAAATATATACCACATAACCCCACCTAAATAAAAATCTATAGCCTTTTTAAATGACTTTGGCCGATGAGATCGTAAATGAAGTGGAGTTCAACACGTGCTTGGTGAGAATTAAATTAAATTGACAATATTAAATCGTGTAAAAATAAAAGATATAAAACTGAGATATTTAAAATCTTCTGTTTCTACGTCAACTTAATTTCAAGCCACAGGTCACTAAGTTTTTAATTGTTTATGGAAAAAGTCATACTTGAAACAGCCTGTATAGTTTGAATAACAAGACAACAAATACAAAACACAAATTTTTCAATTGTATCACATTTGAAAGGATCAAATAGAAAACGTACAAAACTCTCATCACAAACGTTTAATATGCGTTTAATGACCGACTAATACGTCTCTTTTTGATGAAATAAAGTTTAGTGTCACTTTAGAAGTGATCAATATCAAATTCAGGAAAACCCAAATACTTGAAAATCATCGTTTACCTACCTTTTATTCCAAAATAAAACCAAGTCCTATTCCCGTTCTCATACTCGGTCCCACAGCAATCGGGCTTCGTCCAGAGATTAAATTCCGCATCTGGAACTTCAGGTGTCGATTTGGTAGAAGTGTTAGGAACCGGAATGACCGACTCATTGGGATGCACATAGACGACTTTAGCTAAATTGGCCGAATCGAATTCATTGTAAAATGTGAATCCTGAACATTCAATTCCTTCCATAACTTCACTTGATACCACAGTAACCAAAGTTTTCCATGATCAAAAATCTACACAAAAATTACGTCACACTCCCAACACTTGGATCTAGAAAGGGATTTACTTAAATTTAATTCCAATTTGACCGATGTAAACATAAATGTAAACAGAAAATGTGACATTTGAGATCAATCAGCTGTTTCGCTTTTTAGGTTAGAATCGAAAGTGTAACGATTTTTACATTATTCAAGGAAAAATGAGACAATTTCACTCACCAATTTCTAAAAGTATCACACAGAATTGTTTTGACACGAAATATTTTTATAAACTGGACATTCTTTTCTATTGACAGTTGTTTTGTTTTGACATTACACAAATCTGACAAGTGACATTTAGGTTGATCAAAATTCGATTTTTCAGGATGAAACTGAGGGGAAAACCTACAAAAAATGTCAACAATATCGACAGTGATTATTATGTAACACAGCTTTCGGAGTTATATGACGAAAATCGAACAAAAATGGGTTTCGTATTCGTAGGGGAACGTAAGGTAAAGTGGCTCATAAGATTGATGTAATATTGGTTGCCTATGTGCATTGACGAGAGGGTTATTTCTGAATTTGTTTTTGCCGCAACCCATTATACATATTGCAACAACTTCTTGATTTCAAATTTTGAAAATAATTATAACTAAATCCACGATAGCTGTTATTAGTCTTGTCTCTGTGACATTATAGTAAAAAAATTATCTCTCAAACGATGCGACATGTTTTGTTATGTTTACCAATCGACTAGGAGCATGTTTAGAAGTCGATGGTAGACACTTCAAGCACCTTTTATATTAACTTAACTTGTTAATTTATATGTTGAATTTGGTTAAATATAGGTTATCTGTCAATCTGACATTTCTGGCAAATTTATCCAACTTACTTTGATTTGTAATTTTAAAGAAATAACATATTTAATTTAGTAGTTTGTGAGATTGGTATTGTTGGTTGCGGCAAAAAAAAATTAGAAATAACCCTCCCATGAATAACCCAGTATGTAAAGTAGATTTCATTGAAATTGGCATAATAGGTGGCTATGGAATTTCGTATTTAAGTTTGTAGCCCTGCGCATGTCCCTGATATAATAGCTGATGGGGTTTTTGTTTTTCTATGATTACTTACCTACATGGTTTATTGAACTGACAGGACTGACATTTGTATTCATTTTTTCACTGTTTTCGTTGCTTGTTCGTTATTCCCACTATTTTTTCAAATTATAATCAAAAGTAGTT